CAAGAGCCTTTCACCCCCCCCCCCCCCACAGCAGCAATTTGGTTAGTATTTTCCTCTGTTGAGGGTCTGAGTCCCCAGGTTTTCTTTTGCTTTTCTATTATTTTATCTGTATTTCTGATCACTGTCTTGCTCATCTGGAAATTATGTTGGAATTTTTTGTGAGGCATGACTTTATTCCTCAAACTTCCAAATATCTCAGTTTTTATTAGATAAAAATTTAATTTTCACTGTTTTAAAGTTTTATTTTGCTTTTGAGACAAGGTCTGGATATGTAGCCCAGGATGGCCTGGAATTTTCTGTGTATTTCCAACTGGCCTCAAACTCAAGCAACCCTCCTTCCTCAGCCTTGAATACTCAGCTTACAGGCATGAGTAAAACTTTATTGGTTTTATCTCCATTTAATTTTAATATATGATACACAGCTCTTCTGAGCTAGATTATAAAATGTGAAGGGTTGATTAGACTAGTTCATGTCTTCGGTGAGTATATAGTCTTAAGAGATATATTGATTCTTACTGAGAAATTCAACAACTTTCACTATTTTAATCATTATTGCTGTTGTTCTGTGTTTATTTATGGATTCATTTTGTATGTGTGCTCAGGGAGGCACATGTGCCACAGGCAGTTCTCTCCTCCACCAGGTGGTTCCCTGGACTGAAGTCTGGTTTCCAGGCTCAATAGTCAGTGCCTGTACTCACTGCGCAATCTTTTCCACCGTATGCTGTATTTTCTGAGAAACAGTCTCCCATTCTGTAGCTCAGGCTGGCCTGGAACTTACTATGCAGCCTAGATTAGTGTCCAGATCCTGGTATTCCTCCTCCTTCAGACCACCCAGTGCTGGGATTCCAGGCTTGAGTCACCACAGAAGCCAGAGAAGACCTTTGAAAGGTTAAGAGAATGAAGGGGTTAGCTTTAAATGTTTAGATTGGGTTTTCATGGGTCTGTAGAGCATCACCGGGGCAGTGAATGGACAAGTGAGTCTAGACCTGTGAAGCAAGTGTGTGCTGGAGCACGTGGAGGCTGGAGACCGGCCGGGGGCCAGATGGCAGCTGGAATGCTGCTCTTCCGTTATGCTAATATAACTGTTAAACAAATGGGTAAAATTCAAAACCAACATTGTTACACTATTGGTCATTAAATATTAACTACATCAGCAAGACAGCAAGTAATTAGTGAGTTGAATTGAGTTCTTTTTTAAAAATTACATTTTATTTACCTACTTTGCGTGTGTGTGTGTGTGTGTGTGTGTCTGTGAATGTGCCACAGTGTGCATGCGGAGGCCGGAGGACAACTTGTGGGAGTTGGTCTGGCCTTGAGTCTCGTAAGTTCTGGGAACCGAACTCGAGCTGTCTGGCTTATTGGTGGCATCTTTCCCTGTTGAACCATCTCACTGGCTCTGAACTGAGTTCTTAATTAATGTTACTGCTTGAAGAATGGAATAACTAAAAATCCCAAAATACAATATGCATATAGCATGAAGAAAATTAAGACTGTAGTAAATTCAAGATGGTGCTCATTTTCAAAGTTAAAACTCAAAGAGAAATGACTGTCCCCTCCTAAAGCAATCAGCTCAGAGATAGGAGTAAAACCAGATGCTCTGCTATTATGGACATTTCCTGTGGTTCCCCATGATGGCGCAGCCCACTATGGATACAGATAATCAGTTCTCTAGGGGAGCAGAATGCTGGGACGGAGCCACGGCATAGTAAACCAGAAAGACGGTGAAAGGATCCTGTCCCAGGATACTGATGTTAGATGAGAGACAGAATGTAACTCACAGGGTAGGTATATCAAGAAGAACTATTTTTTAATCAAATTCTAACTATTGCAGTAATCATTTCACATGTATCATGCACCAAGATTGCATTGTATACTTAGAATAAAGACATTTTTTGAACTGCCAAATACTGGTCAATAAAGCTGGTGGGGGAGTTCCTATGTCTAGAAGCCAGAGAGAGTGATTCCCTAAGGATGGGAAAGGGGAAGTTAAAGTTGGGAAATCCACCTCAGAGTGTGAGCACTTGAGAAGAGGCACAAAGCTGGTCCTGGGGTACAAAGAGGAGGAGGAGGCAGTGAGGGATGCGGAAAGAGACGTTGATGGACAGGAAGCACGGGTGTTCCCTTGTATCAGCTTCTTTCCTAATTGCTGTGAAAAAATACATGGCACGAGCAACTTCAGGAGGGGTTTGCCCGTTGTGGTGGAATTGGCGTTCAGCCAGTGGCCCCAGCCCATGGACTAGCGTTGCCCATATTCAGGGAGAGTCTTCCCTGCTTATACAAACTTTTCTGGAAACACCTTCATAGATACACACAGAAGTGTGTTTCCATGCTGAATATAAATGCATTCAAATTGGCAACGATGATTAACCATTGCGTCTTCTAAGCGAGTGATTTCAGACTCAGAGAGTGATGGGTGTGAAAGTCCACCCATGGACCAGAACTCCAGACAGTGGGGTACGAGCGAACTCTGTAGGTTATTCTAGCCAAAGTACAAGGACCTACAAATTAGGTCTTTTGTGTGGTGTTTCTGCATCGTTTGTAATTTTAGGATGGGCAAGAGGAGACATGATGGAATTGCTGAGCCAAGCCCGTATCCAGCTTGGGAATTCACGCATCAGAGAAAGGCACCACTCTAGAAAATGGTTGACTGTGTTTCCTTAGAATCCTTTATAGTAGTGGTTCTCAGCCTGTGGGAATCACATATCAGATGTCCTGCATATCAGATATTTACATTATGACTCATAACAGTAGCAAAATTACAGTTCTGAAGCAGCAATGAAAATAATTTTATGGTCAAGTCAACACAACAAGAGGAACTGTATTAAAATGTTGAAGCATTAGGAAGGCTGAGAACCACTGCCCTAAGGTAAGTGACTACCTGGAGACACTGCCATCACTTCTCCCTTGGATGGTGCCCTGAGGAAGGGCTCATGTGGTTTCTGGGTCAAGGACATGCAGAGTATGAGAGGACTTGAGAAGCATCCCTTCCTTTCTTGGCGGATAAAGAATCATGATTGCCACAGTGCTTTGGATTTGTTGTGTTCACAGTGAATCTCACATATCTGTAAGCCTGATTTGCCTCTGCTAGCTATGACTCCATTCCCATAGACGCTGCTGCTCCACCCGCAGAGACTCTGAGACAGGACAACTGACCTAAGAAGTCCTGTACTAGTTCATTGCCCTCCTCTGCTCACTTCCCTCTCTACCCCTCCCGTCTCCTCCTCTTCCTTCCCCTTTCTTTTCATTTTTACTTATGCTGCATCAGCAGTGTCTTATCTGGTCTCCCAGCTGCTAGCCTCTTACTTCCTAAGTGTATCTCCTCAACCTTTGGCAGCTGGACGCTGTGATACACACTGTGGGCAGTCACTGGGGCATGAGGGGCCTCTCACCACAAGGTGACAATAAGATCGATATAATAGAGATATGGAAGATATTTTACAACATGCCTTATCTCCAGCCACTGTCCGAACCACTCCCGTCTTCCATGTTCCAGGAACAGCTCGCCTTCCTAAACGTGCAGCACTTTGTGCACTCCTACCGAGGACCTTCTCTTCTCTTCTCGTTTCCCTAGCGCCATGTCTTGAAGTGTGATCCTTTCTCTAGCTTTCTCTGATCTCACTCTCTCTTCTAAATCATTACTGATTTGTTTTTTCCTCCTGCATTCTATGGTACTTGGTAGATCTATCAAGTGTGGCATTTGGAACATTATGTTGTATTTGTTACACTTCTGGTTCCTTAACTGGACTTAAGATTTCTTGACTTGACACACGAGGCATTTCAATATGAGGGTTTGTGCCTAGTCTTACTGTGATGTGTTATGCCATGTTCAGTTGATGTCACCGGGAGGTCTGCTCTTTTCTGAAGGGAAACAGAGGAGGAGTGGTTCTCGGGGAGAAGGAAGGCTGTGAGTGGGGGAGCTGGGAGAGGTGGAAGGAGGGGAATTTGTGGTCAGGATGTAATATATGAGAGAAGAATAAATTTTAAAAATGAGTCATTGGCCTGGGAAGATGGCTTGGTGAGTTAAGTATGAGGACTGGAGTTCAAATTTCCAGAACCCACATAAACCTGGGAACAGCAGCAGGCATCATAATCGCAGAGCTCTCATAGTGAGATGCGGGACAGAGACAGGAGAATCCCCAGAAGCTTTGTGGGCAGCCAGCTTGGCTTACACAGTGGCAAACAACAAGAACCAGAAACACTGTCTGAAAGCCAAGGTGGAAGGTGAGGACTGACAGCTGAGGTGGCCCTCTGACCCCCACAATGTGCAGTCTGCCCATAGGTACATGCACATGTGAGATCAATAAAAGGTAAGTGAGATCACAAACAAGCTATTAATTGTATTTCTCTCATATCTGGCACATAGGAGGTCTTCCATACGTTTTAGTTGCATCCATTTGAATCAGAGATTCTCTCCACAGGTAGCCCTGGGTGAGCAGAGGCAAGCAGAATTCTCCAGAAAGGGATGTGGGCAGCTCTCTGCATGGAGCTACAGCAACAACAGGCTCCGGTTTCCCATGTAGTCTCACAGAGCACTGGCCAACTGAAGACTTCTAGAACATGGGATTTTGATGGGGAAAATTGTCTTACAAGTGATTCTTTTTAATCTTCAGATGAAGAAACCGGTTTTGTTCCCATCAGACCACACATGTAGCTTTTTGCCACCAATACCACCCCAGCCAGCAATCTTTACAAATTTATGAATGTTAAATCATTTTACATTCCAGGCACGAACACACTATACAGCTGATGTTAGTTTAGGGGAGCTTCATTAAGGAATGTTAACGAGTTCAAGGTAGGATTGTTCGATGAGTAGAGGTATCTGATAAGAAGTTCCAAGTGAAGTGAAGTGAAGTGATGTGTGTGTGTGTGTGTGTGTGTGTGTGTGTGTGTGTGTGTGTGTGTGTGTTCTGTTTGAGAACTTCAACCATCAGAGGACAGGGTGAGAGGACTTTGATACATCTGTGTTTCTAAGGTTTAATTGAGCCTTTTATTTCCCGTAGGTTTCAAAACCTGCTATGGTCCAGAAAGACGTTCGTGGACAACATGAAGATCTATAACCACAGCTTTATTTACATGCCTGCCTTCTCTATGAAGACGGGAACAGAGCCCTCTCTCCGTGTGTATTACACACTGAAAGATGTTGGTGCCAATCAAACAGTGCTTTTTGCTAACCCTAACTTTCTGCGGAACATTGGAAAGTTCTGGAAGAGTAGGGGGATCCATGCCAAGCGCCTGTCTACAGGACTCTTTCTGGTGAGCGCAGCCTTGGGCCTTTGTGAGGAGGTAGCCATCTATGGCTTCTGGCCCTTCTCTGTGAATATGCAGGAGGAGCCCATTAGTCACCACTACTACGACAATGTCTTGCCCTACTCAGGCTTCCATGCCATGCCTGAGGAATTTCTCCAACTCTGGTACCTTCATAAAATTGGTGCACTGAGGATGCAGCTAGACCCATGCGAGGGACCATCTCTTCAGCCCACTTCCTAGGGACCATAAAAGAAGAAAGGACCGGGTGGGGTATTTTTTGCTAGGTTTTCTATGTGACTTCTAAAAGGAATGGCCAAAGTGTATCATGGATTGGCATGATAGGAAACAAACAAAAACCCAAGCAAAACTTTGCTTTTGATGTTGGCTTGGAGAACAATAAGAAGTAAAATGTTCTGGGGGAACATTTTATATCATGCTGTGGATTTGCAACTGGGACAGCACCAAGGAGATGATGCTGGCAGATCACGTGTCTGTGGTTCAAATCCAGAAGATGCAATTCAAGGACCAGATGGACGCTAATTGCTGAGGCTGAGGGGCTCATCATGGCAGCATGTGGGAGATGCTGGGGTATTGCTGATTGTCAATATACACTGGCATCATAGTCATTTTAAAAGACCTGTCTTATTGAGACTGGCATTAGAACTGTAGGTTTTTAAAAATTATTATTTATTTTTGCCCTGTTTAGGGCTATGGGTGGGTGATGGGGTAGACTTACAAAATCCTTCCTGCTGATTTTTGTGATTCATTAAAACAAGTCTATGTTGACCAGTCCCTCCACTAGTACAGGTTTAAATAAGGATTACTTCTTGCCTCTTTGGTTAAGCCTACTTAGCATGAAGCTCTGTTGAAGTTAGACTGTGTTGATTCATAGTCTAGATAACATGAGACACTTCCTCTCCTCAGAAGTTGAGAGAGAAACTCAATTTTAGGTCCCCATTACATCAACCCATTGGCTGGGTTGCTATTATTTTCACAAAATCACTACATGTGCAAGTACATTCTTTACTTGTAAAGTGGCAAAAGTGTCTTCCTTTAATGAGAGGTGAAGTAGGTCACAGCGAGTAAGAACTTCGTCTCTGAGGCAGACAGACCAGAAGGCAGGGGGCCCTTTCCTCTTTAACATGAATATTTCCCTTCAAGATAACTCATGCGTGTGCACACATGAATGTTTTCTTTCAAGATAATGTGTGTGTATGCACACCTGAATATAGACACATACACTCAGACACACTATACAAAGTAATCAAAGATTATTCTCATGTGGCTATGAAAACTGAGTGCGCATGGCCTGGTGTTGGAGAGCTGCAGAGATATGGTATGGAATCCATCCCACGTTGACGTAAGTTGAGCTGGCACAGCAGTTGCTGTCAATTTGCATGCCAGCACGGGGTGCAAGCTTTACCCTCAAATATGTAATCCAGAATGAAAACTGCTCTCTTACTCATCCTGCCTCCTCCCCCCAAATCTCATGAATGGGCCTTGTGTTGAGCATAGTGACATGGGACATGGCTCACGCAAGTGAGCAGGTAGGAGCCACTAGCTGTGGATCTCCCCAGTGCCAGGTGGGGCTGCTTGGGCAGCTTGGTACAGCAGCTTTAACACAACACAACAGGGTTGCAGATTACGGCCAAATGTGTTTACTGTAGGTAAGGGACAAGCAGGGACATCTTTCAAAGTGTTTGTGCTTTGAGGCGTGTTAGGCTCCAAGGAGATGTGAAGACTCACGTTTATTCTTTCAAGTGTTGTCATGATGTAGGTAAAATCAACCCACAAGCTCTACTGCACCATGAAGGTAGAAACTTAGTATATTGACCATGCCTATGAAAACAGGGGGCTTTAAAAAGAAGGCGAACTTCCAAGATATCACAGTTGTTTAAGAGTTGCACATCTAGGGTAGGGAGTTTCCAAATGTGATTAAATACCGGGTTATTCTAGAAATTAGCATTTGGACTGACACTAGGTGCCACGATGGTGCACAGGTTGTGGTGATGTTTAGAGAATGAAGAGTTTGGGAGGCTCACCACTGTGCAGGGCTGGCTTAGTGTTTCTATCTTGTGCAGCAGCATCAGGATATCAGGAAGGCAGGGTGAGTTGTTAGTCATGTCTGTCCAACCCTGAATATAATCCTGTTTTGAGTGACTAGAAGTTAGTAATTACCTAAGAAAAAATACATTTTTACCAATAGATTCATTAAAAGTGTAAAAGGTCTAAGAAAACAACAAATACAAAGATTGATTAAGTGTGCATTCAGATGAATGCATTAATTGGTCAAAATCTAAAGAAGAAGCTCATAAAATGCACACATCATGGTTCACTGAGAATGCTGTCTGGGAGTCTGAACTTTCACTACAGTTCCTGGAACAGGTCCGTGTAATAGATTTGTGTGTTTAGTCTATGAAATTGTAAAGCTATTCTGCATGGCATCTGAACTGCAGAACGGAGATGATCAACACTGTCAGCTGACCTGTGCTTTCACCTGTGTGCTGACTTCCCTTCCCCCTCAGGTGCCATGAGCCAACACCTGAGGACATTTTTCATCGTTATGACCAGGAATGCTAGCTGCTTGTGGTAGGGAACAGTCATGGATAGTGGTCCAACAGCAACAGGTCAGCCACTTACCACAGAGAATGACCCAGAGAAATGTTAGTAGTGTGAAAACTGAGAAACCCCAAGGTAGACCAAAAGAAAAGTTTGACTGCTCATACTATCTGCCTTTTAGGACATAGGTACAATGTTCATGTCGCAAACAGCATTGCTGCAATCTTTATTATTTTAGAGTGACAATTCATAGGTGTGTTATATGTATAACTTTTTGTGTGTTTGGTTAGATGATGTAGTTAAGCAAGAGGTAGGTCTCATCACCCCCTCTTGTGCATGTGTGTGTGTGTATGTACATTATTTTCAGTAAAATACATGTTCCTACATAGAAACCTCTCCAGAATTGTCCTGTAGAACATTCTGGAGTACCCTTAGGAGATTGTTTATTATTCAATTCTACTTATTGAAATTAAGGCCTTCAGCTCTGGGCCTGGTCCATTAATGTATTTGACCTTTAATGGTCAGACAGAAGGGATTTGCATTATGGTGGATGTGTTCAATAAAAAGGATTTAATTCATTTCAGTGCATCTGGCAAGGGATGATGCCCCTCTCTACCACCAATTAGACAAATGCTTTAAGTGTGTGTATGTGTGCATGCATGGCAGTGTACATGAGAGACAGAGACAGAGAGAGAGAGACAGATAGACAGACAAAAGTAAGATTGCTTCATGGGGTGGGGACAGGAAAGGATGCAGAGACTGCAAATGAGCACCCAGATAGGAACTTCCGTTTTAGTCAACTGCAGCTTGAGAATTGCTTTGGTGAAAGATCTTTTCACACACGATGACTGTGGACCCATATACTCACTGTAAAGTGCTTTACAAAAGTGCATAAAAATCACGTGCCTGAACTAGCTTGTTCACTTTTATGACTTTGTCAAAGGGAGTGAGCAGAAGGAGGGACTTCTCAGCCCTTAAGAGTGCTGACTGCTTAGTTCCTGACACATGCTTCCCTGTACAGCTGCCTGTCACTCCAGTTCCAAGGGATCTGGTGTTCTCTTCTGGCCTCCATGGACACTGCATGCAAGTGGGATCATATACGCACACATAATAAGTGAATGCATCTTAATAAAGGAGAGAATTCATTCTCTAAAGTGGCAGATGTCCAGGTAGTGCCCTTCCTGCTGCTTTGCTGGGAAGCCAGTCATCTCTAGTTTTATTTTCTATGTTTGAAAAATAGCATCTGTGTGGCAAATTCTTGTCAGGAGGGATCTAATGAGAACATCAGTCACCAGTGCACTGAGGGATCTTCACCTTAGGAGCTGCTGTGCCTAAGCTTGCACTTGCTAATCAAAGCGCTCCCATGGCAGAGTCTGGTCACCTTGACCCAGTTGCAGCCCTGCATATGATCATGAGGAGTAGAACTCTAGTCTCTGTGTACACAGATGAACTTTCTGAATCCCCAAAGCTAGGGAGATAGCAAATACCCCATAGTTCCTGGGCTGTGTCTTTGAAATCATGAACTTCTAAAGCCCAGAGTCCACATTTAGTCTTTAAATGTGAGGCACTATACAGTTTCTGCTTTATAAGTGAGAGAGTCTTAAAGTTGTAGACAACACACACACACACACACACACACACACACACACACACAGACACACAGACACACACACACACACACACACACACACACACACACACACAATATGAATAGTATCTGCCTTATTCTCAGCCTTAATGTGCCATTTGACATTTTCACATATATCCCAGAGATGAATGATTGATGTGTGTGTATGAATTGAAAGGTCATTCATACTATTCATACTATCTAACCTTTCTCATTGAACAAGGAAGAAACATGCTTCTGCTTCCTTGTTTGGGTTTTCTCTCTGTTGCTGACATTTGTAGTTTCTTCTTCCTTTAACACAGAGAAACAAACATATTGAAGTGAATTATAATATCGTGAGCACTTGAGTCAAAGCCCTTGACTATCACTTGATAGGGCACAAAAGAGGAATTATATTTTGTGGTTGCTCATTTGCCTATGACTCTCAGTTTCACTGCTGTGTTAAAAGCCTTCTTGGTTTTGCTTTTCAATTGAAACTTGGGGATTCAATCAATGACACAAAGTTGTCCAAGAGTTTTATGGTGTAATATCCAAATATAGTGATCATGTTTCTTCTAGCTTCTGTGTAATTAGACTCCTCCAGGTAACTGTCACTTTCAAATGTATGTTTCATGCAATAACAGTAAACACCAAGAGATGTGACTTAGTCCAAAACAGAGAAAACTGGATTCATGGAATTCTGGATTTCTCTGTATAGTAACAGAAAGAAAAAATGCAATAGAGAAAAGATGTAACCAAAATGAGAACTAAGAGCAAATATTGATTTTGTTCTCTGCTGCAAAGGACCTATTGGGAGTGGTCTTGGCCTCAGAAGGAAGCTCGGCAGACAGGAAGGAAGGGATTGTTGTCTTAGAATGCATTTGCAAGAATGGAGTGGTTTCAAGGTAACCAAAAGGAAGTGTGTGGCCATGCCATCATTAGGGTTAGGATGAAAAGATGCTAGATGGACCATGAGCATGGATTGCAAGGCTGTTGCGGGGAAGACTCCAAGCTGGTACCTGTTTTCTCATGTGAATCTTGGAGGTCTTGGAGGCCTCAGGTTCCTGCGCCGCCCACCAGGCAGTGCCCTCCTGGATGCCTGTGTTCAGTGAAGCAAACACCTCCATGTCCCTCGGTCACCTGCCTTTTGATTTGTACTCTCAAGGTGAGTTATAATTTAGCTCTCCTGTCAAGATGATACAGCGATGGTGGTAAATATCACCCTGATGTTGACCGGTGAACGTGGTCACTATACACTGCACATAGCAAGAGTTACTGTTAACTTCCTGTCCCCACAATGATTCCCAAGAGAGGCGATGGCAACCTAGATTCATTACCCTTCATGTTTCAGTTCAATCTTTCTCCCTCACTCCCTCTCTCCCTCCTCCCTTATATTATTTATGCCCACGGAAAATAGAAAGTAACTGGTAATGTTGGGGAGTGGCAGAGGGTGCCTTAACTTTTCCTGGCTTGGCTCCCCACTTACATATTCCCTTCATGTGTTTGTTGCTTTTTAGATGTTTCCATGTCCGTCCAACTTGTACCTTTATCATCAGCAAGACCCTTTTAAATGTAGCAAATGGGACTATTTTATAGAAATTCATGATAGTATATAGGCCTTGGAGAAGTCTGATAATGGTGTGTAAATATCCTTTGCTCAGTTGTGGAACATTTTTCTAAGGTCTTTTAGGTGATAGCTACAGGAAGATTCCTAGAGTTAAGAATGTTTTTCCAGAAAATTCCAGTATTCAAGGAAGCAAGGAACCACCCTATTGCTGTTTTCCATTCTGTCGTCAGCACTGACAGGCTTCTCTCTCCACAGTTAGGGTGACTGATGGCTACTGTGGTGCACCATAGAGATACTACATATATGGGAAGGGGAGAGAAAAGACATACAACACACGATTCTAAAGCCTGCTTCATCTTTACAAAGCTCTATAATATTACTAGACTAATAGTTACCATGCAGCATACTGTGATCTGCAAAGTATTGGGGAATAGTTTACCTTTAGCCTCTTTCATTGCTCATTCCAGACTATTCGACAGGCATGCAAGCTGTTCTATCAGTGTGTATTTTCAGAGGTTGGGGAAGAGTCAAAATAGGAAATTTTAAATATTCTTTCTCGTGTACTGTCTACTGGTCCATGGATCTACTAATTCTGGAGCTTTTAGATCAGACTATAAAACCGAAGTCAGCATTTGAAGTGTTTGCAGAGCGGCGTCCTCCTATGAAGGCCAGATTTGATTGACAGCAAGTGTGGGGTAACCCAGTGCTCTTCATTTCTTTTCTTTTGGAGAATTTTATATAAAATGTAGCAGGGAAGAAAATAGGTTTAATTGGTACTTTTTATGGTGTGACTTGAAAAAAAAATGGTGCCTGTCTGTTGGCTGAGATGAACAGTGATGTGCCTAGAGGGTCACTGGAAAAATGTCTTTTCTTTGCTGTGATCATGAACCGTGGCTAGCAGTGAGAAGATTAACTGGTCTCAGTTCCTCTACCTCCCTTCCTCGGAGAATATTTGGAAGTGTACCCTGTGAATAAAATGGGATTTTTTTCAATGCAGTTTGTGAAGTCCTTTTATTTCTATGAAGGGTGTTTGCTGTTTCCTTCTCCGTTCTCTCTGTACCTTGGGTCTGCTTTGGCTGCCCTGTTTGACTCTCCCGAGACGAGTGAAAGATGTGTTGCTTAGTCAGACACTGTTCTAGGAGCCAGGATTATCGGGCTGGCGAGACGGCAGCTCAGTGGGCAAGGGAGCCTGCTGCCAAGCCTGACCACCGGAGTCTGATCACTGGGGCCCACAGGGTGAGAGGCAGCCGCCGGCTCCTGGAAATGCCCTCAGACCTCCACACATGGGCTGTGGCCCATGTGCACCCACACAGGCACACATACACACAAAGTTAATAAATACAATCCAATGCAAAAGTTCAAGCAAAAAATGCATATAGGATTGGAGTGGCTGTGTCAATACCACCAGCACGCAGGGCTGGTGTCTGTCAGTGGGTGAGGAGGCTTCCACCACGTCTCATGACGGGAATTTGATTCTGGGAACCCTCATGGTACAAAGAAAGTTGTCTTTTGACCTCCACATGTGTGCCATGTGAATAAGCATAAAGTAAGTAAATGATAAGTAATTGTAAAATAAATGCATTAATGTAATTTTTAAAGATTTTTTTTTTGTTTTACTTTTATTTTACGTGGATGGTGTCTTGCTGCATGTATGTCTGTGCACCATGCAGGTGCAATGCCTAAGGAGGGCAGAGGAGGGCATCAGATTTCCTGGGACTGGAGTTCTGAGTGGTTGTGAGCCACCAGTTGAGGGCTGGGACTGAACTCTGATCCTTTGCAAGAGCCGCCAGTGCTCTTAACTCCTGAGTCATTTATCCAGACTGAAAAAAACATTAAACACTGCGTAGTACAGGAAAGGACTCATCTTAGGCAGAGGAAAGACTACCTCCTATGCAAAGCAGAAAGGAAATCGTGCATCTACATAGTAATACTAATACACGTGAGCCTTTTTTCCCAGCAATAAAATTGTTCCTCTTTGTAGTGAGTCCATACGTGTGTCTAGAAATAGGCTCACTAATTGCTAACATGAGACAAGACATTGGGACTCCTCCTCTGCTCGTAGTGGGTGACTTTGAGAGGCCACATATACCTTCCTGTCAAAGTCATTTAGGTAATTGCTTTGTGCTCCCAGTCCCTTGGGCTCTGTGTCCCAGTTCTGTCAGACAGTTCCTCAGAAGGGGTGACATCAAGAAAGGCGCCCCGTCCGCCCTTTATGATACACTTCTTGGAAATTGATCAAGGCACTTGGTATAGATCTTACTAATTGTATGCCTTTGTTTTCACGTTAGCCTTTTAGGCCACAGCTGTTTTAGGAAGAAAGAGTCCACGAGTTAGGGGAGGTGAGGCACGGTCTTTAGTGAGTCACTCCACAGGCTGGGAAGACCCGTCCTACAAACGTGGGCCACCCTAACAGTGTGAGGAAAATGAACTTAGCTTCGGTCACCAGCTAACATCAGGCCGCACAATCCAAATTGTACCCAATCCAGCTCTTCTACTCTGTAAGAGCCCAAAGGCGTATGTACGCTCAAGATTTCCCACCAAGCCTGAAAGCAGGCTAATTACAAGTCATAGGCTATTGAGATGATAGGAGAAATTAAAGGAGGGTGATCAAACTCATTTCTAACTCACAGTCTGCAGTCCGGGGCTTTTGAAAACATACCTACTTGTTGCTGTTTCTATTATGCAGACAGACTGAAGGTTATTATTTGTTTATATCGCAGGAGCCATTGTTTTTGGGCAGAAACTGGGGAGGCGGGGAAACCACCCTCAACATTGGGAACATGTTAAGATTTTAACTTTATTAGTTTTTATTTATGTGTAGTGTGTCTGCAACACATGTGTGAGTGCTCCCGGAGGCCAGAAGATGTTGGCTTTTCTGGAACTGGAGTTACAGGTGGTTGTGATCCACCCAACATGGGGTGCTGGGAATCGAACTCAGGTCCTCTGAAAAAGCTGCGAATGTTCTTTGCCATGGAGCCATCTCTCCAACCCCATTTACTGGGAACATTTTTTATGATAAACAGTGAAATGAAAAGTTGAATTAAAAGACAATTAAGAGCTTACTGGTATCAAATTAGGTGTCAGTCAAGACTATTCTGATATTTGCATGTGGGGCGAAGACAAAAGGTAAAGCCTGGACAAAGACACTCACTGAGATGGAGTGGGGACTGCTGACATCGGCTTCTTACCTGGTGGCTGTCTGGGGACTGATTCTCTGCCACGTGTAGCATGAATCTTAAAAGTTCTTATTAATAAAATCAAACCTGAGGCCAGTTATTGGGGTGAATGCTGGTAGATCAGAGAGACACAACAAGCCACAGCCACCTTACCTCGCCAATTCCTCAGCTGGTTTTGTTTCCTCAGACTGGAAGCCTCTGAGTCCTCATCCAGAATGGGTCTCAGCTGAACTGTGTTGCTCCAAAGCCTGAAAGCTTAACCAGCCAAATGCTTAACCAGCCAAATGCTTCTAGTTTCTGGTCCTCACGCCTTATATACCTTTCTGCTTTCTACCACCACTCCCTGGGATTAAAGGCTCACTTTCTGGGATTAAAAGCGTGAGTCACCATGCTTGGCTGTATCCTTGAACATATGGATATCTGCCTCTGGAATGCTAGGATTAAAGGCGGGTGCTACCACTGCCTAACTTCTATGTTTAATATTGTGGTTGTTCTGTCTCTGACCCCAGATAAGTTTATTAGTATGCACAATATTTGGGGGAATACAATACCACAGCCATGGTTAACCCTCACCTGAGGTTTTGCTGGCTGGGCACTAGATAAGAAGCAGGTTATCCTTGGTCCCTGTCTGTGATTCTAGGTATAACCTCTGTACCTAATAAACAAACCATGTTGTACAGAAGCCCACAGAGGGAGTCCATCACAGGACTCCCTGGCATCCTGGTCATGCTGTTTTGTCCATAGTTTTTACAAAGTTGAAGTCTGAGATGATGACATCAGTCTCCAGAGCAGTCTGGAGCTGCCCACAATGCTCTTCCCCACGGAGCATAGTCTCCATTCTAACTGAAGTAGATGTTTATTCTGGGTCTTCCTTTTCTATCATTGTTTTCTGCTAGCACCAACACCTGCTAGTATTGCCATGTTAATATTACATACTCTATACACTATCTGTCTTAGTTAGGGTTTCTATTGCTATGAAGAGGCACCATGATCACAGCAACTCTTATAAAGGAAAACTTGTTTTTTCAGATTAGAAAACTGCTTTAATGGAAACTCCCCCCAACACACCATCTGGGGCAGGGTGGAATGTGGCCAGGGTTGGCCCCAGGGCAATACTGAGCCTGTAGTTGTTACCAAAATATACATCTGTCACTATTAAAAAAAAAAAAAACTGCTGCACCACCTCAGCCCCACACAGGTATAAGAATCATAAATATTTATACTCTTGCCACTCCTTCATAGAACCAAAGTCCAGGGAACCCCTCCCATAGAGACAGGGCAGGTACAATGTGGGCATCTGCGAAGGGCCTTAAGGCCTAGAGGTCAGCCCCTCCCCTGGGCCTAGTGAGAGGCAGGCAGAAAACAAAACTTTGGTCCAAAATTTGAAGGTCGGAGCCCACTGGTCTCAGAGCTGTTTACCCCAAGCAGAGGCAGCACTGGCCTGTGCTCCCCCTCAAGTTGGTCACCGGGAAGGAGGGGACAAGCGCAGGGACACAGAAGCTTAGAGTACACATGTACCATTGTATCATTGCTATCAAAAGTTACTTAAAACTATATCTTTCACATATAAATGGAAAAAGATTCGGGTATTTGGTCAAGTGGAAATATTGCTAGGCACAGGTGTCTGTGACTGCACAGAATAGAATACAAAGGTCACATGAGGCTCAGCAGCTAAGGATGACTTGAGCCCCGGGCTGGCCAGGGACATGGGATTATAATCATGTCACTTGATTATAAGGTAGGGGTGGTGGCCCCAGCTCCTGCACAGTGTAGGAAGCCTGTGGTGCTGGCTGCCTGGCTCACCTGCAGGTCTAGAGACAGACTGATGGCCTGAGAGGATGGGTGTGCAGCCACAAGGCGGGCTGGTTTTCTCAGGCATGAGAAAGTGGATGTGTTGGGGCACAGCTGTGACCTCATGCCTGAGCCCCTCAAGGCAAGGTGCCAGAGCAGACTGGGCCTCTGTATGTAGCTAGAGTTTTCCTGCCTGGCCCACAGTCAGGACAAATCTCTGTCACCCGCCAGTCCCTCAGCCACTCAGACCCAACCAAGGAAACACAGAGACTTATATTGCTTACAAACTGTATGGCCGTGGCAGGCTTCTTGCTAACTGTTCTTATATCTTAAATTAATCCATTTCTATAATTCTATGCCTTGCCACGTGGCTCGTGGCTTACCGGCATCTTCACATGCTTCTTGTCATGGCGGCGGCTGGCAGTGTCTCCTTCTGCCTTCCTGTTCTTTCTTTTCTCCTCTCTGTTAGTCCCACCTATACTTCCTGCCTAGCCACTGGCCAATCAGTGTTTTATTTATTGACCAATCAGAGCAACACATTTGCCGTACAGAACATCCCACAGCAACTGTAGCCCAAGTCATTTCCTGCCACAGCAAGGTGGACTAGATTTAGTTTAAAGGAAAACTTTTAATTGGGTGGCTTACAGTTCAGTGGTTCATTTCAGTCCATTATCTGCATAGTGGGACATGACGGCATGCAGACAGACATGGTGCTGGAAATAGCTGAGAGTTATACATCTTGCGCAGGCAACAGAAAGTGAACTGAAATACTGGATGTGGTTTAAGCATATATGAGACCTCAAAGCCTGCCTCCACAGTGATACACTTCCTCCAACAAGGCCACACCCGTTCCAACAAAGCCACATTCCTCAGAGTGCCACTCCTTATGAGCTTATAAGGGCCAATTACATTCAAACTACCACATTCCACTCCCTGGCCCCCATAAGCTTGTAATAATATTATAATGCAAAATGCATTTAGTCTAGCTTCAAAGTCCTCATAGTCTATCACAGTCTCAACAA